GTGGCACCGCATTCAAGAGCGTAATCCGAATTCTGTGGATCAGTCTTGAATGTTATTTCCGCTGAGCATTTGTTGCATTTGGTGTAGAACCTAAAAACTGGAATTCCCAAATAAGTCTCCCCGATGGCTTTTTCTTTGCGCATATTAAACTTAGTACCCTTATACATGTAGTTCCCACAAGTTGTACAACGAATGCTCATGGGAAGCATATTGCGGATAGTGAATTGTTTATTCTTTGGCTGCTGCCGCCGTGGAATCTTTGCCGGATCGAAGTCCGGTGGATAATACTTGTTTAGCACTTTTCTTTCTCCCATTCTAGTAGAAATATAGACAGGACAATATCGTTGCTCAGATGCACAAGAAACACAATGTCCCAAAGCGTTATATATCTGAACGTTTGGTCATTCTTGAGGAAATTAACGATGACAAGATCGAAATCACCACCTGATGCTGATCGGATGGACAATACTTCTCAAATCTTTCGTTCCGAAAACGTTTGAAAACTGAAACTCGAGAGAAATTTTGAGAAAGTTGACAGATGCATAAACTTGGGGAGAAACAGAAAATTTGATGAGACGTTTTGTATTGTATTAAAAAAATTAGAATTGGTTATTGATTTTGGATAAGGAAACTTCCTACTCGCGGAAGAACTCTTTTCTTTCGATTATTTTCAAGAAATTCAATCATCCTAATTTCAAAACAACTCTTTTTATTTCATTTATTCATTTGGAGAATAATACTAATCTAAAAGGACTTTCCTTTTAATTCTAATTCAAATAAAAAATAAATATATATTAAGGACACACATTCTGATTTAATCATTCTACAGTTAATAATAATTATAACTTTATAATTTTCGAATAAGGAAATATCCTATTCCCAAAAGAACTCTTTTCTTTTGATTATTTATAATATGGAATGGAATTGACTTTGGATTAAGGAAATATCCTAATTTCTAAACAAGCCTTTTTTTTTGTTATTTATTTATTTGGAGAAGGATTCTAATCTAAATGGACTTTCTTTTTAATTCTAATTCAAATAAAAAAAAAAATTCATATATTAATGACACGTGCACGACCCATTCCGATTTAATTAATTATTCATTCGACAGAATAATAAATTATAACTCTTATAATTTTTTGCGATTCTTACCTCGAAGTCTTCGAATGGACGAAATGGACCCAATTAAACAAAATTTCAACAAATTAATTTTGACATAATTAACTCTTAATTGATCAAGATAATTTATTGGTCACATTTTATTTCCCTGAAGAATGATATTGTACTTTTCGTTCAATTTAAATTACTGAAACTATGCAAACAATAATTATATTCTTGACAAATTATTCTTACGTATTACCCTCTTTGATCAAGTTGAATATTGGGAACAAGGTAAAATCACTAAAATGCCCTTTTTTCAAATATGCATTAAATCCTCAGTTTCATTTTCCATGTGACATTCTCAAGTGATCACATTACAAATTTACAATATTAATTCAACGGTCATTATCGAAATATTTAGGGTGGATAGCCAATGTGGCTCCACCTTAGATTGCCGTGTTACACAATTGTTTGCCAAATAATNATAGTATATATTTTACCTAGAAGCCTCCCAAAAACAGAGCCGATAGAACCATGAAGCCAACTAGACGGTCACATACGGCCCATGATTACGTAGTGCCCCAGAATTTTGAAATTTATAATTTTATTTTTTCCCTTATAATAGTGAATAATTTTATTAAGAAAAAGGAAAGTCTCAAAGTAAAATCCATCCCTACTACCACAAAAAACCCAGACGGTCAACCCAAACCCAACAATCAAAATCTAAGACTTTCTATTTTAGTATTTATCCTCTTTTCCTTTTACTTTTATTCTTGTAAACTTCGTAAATAAGTATTAGATTACAGTCAATTAATAAATCTCTTAATTACAATTTACAACTTTGATCACAACATAAAATTTAAAGAATATAAGGATGCATTTGGTTTGCGTTTGCGTTTTCGTTTTCTATATTCATTTTTGAAATAGAAAACGTTTTCTATTTTGAGGGACTATTTTCAAATTACAGAAAACGTGTTTGGTTTGTTATTTTGAAAAATGGTTTCTCAAAACAGAAAACTATTATTTTAAAAAATGGTTTCTCAGAACATGATTTTTATTTATTCTTTCCTTATCCTTGAATATCGAATTGATATATTTTTACTTAATTGGTGAGGACGAGAAAGTGAATTCTTACTTTAATTTTTGTAATTTTGGTGTGTATGACTATGACTATCTGATATGATGTTTTATTTGTAGTTAATCAAATTAGTTAGTGTTGACCCCCTTTCTGCAATGACATCGTGGCCAGCAAATGTCGGGCGCACTCATGTCTGCAAGAGTAAATTCTAGCACGTTTCGATCGAAATAATTGATCGAAAGGTCAATGGACGTGGGAGATGCTCTATAACACGAGACGAATACGTTCGAGCACCAACGATACGATCGAGAACAATTGTAAATAAACAATCACAAACCGTCTCCCCAAAGCTGAAATGATTTGAACTCAAGTATGTAAATGTAGAATGAACAAGAAAGAGATTTTACCGAGAGTTCAAGTGTGTTATCTAACATATATGTTTTTCAATCCTTTAAAGATTACAAAAGCTGCCATTTATATAGCTGGGGCCAATGTGGTCATCGTTGGATTAGAGCCATGTGGCCTCATCCCAATAACCAGAACCTCACATCACTCTTTGTAATACATAAATTATATTGATATGAGATCAGCCGCCCTACATTCTATGCTGACATTTCTGACATACATTAAGACAAATGTTATATCAATCATTTCTAAAGATACTCTTTAGATTCACTTTAAAGGCGGCTGGTGCTTTAGATTTGAGATAGAGTTTCGGATGTGTTGTGGCTCGGTTAGAAAAGGAAGTGCTTCAGCCCAAGAGGCTTCAGATGAAGATAGTACTTCGGCCAAAAAGCAGCTTGTTTCCTTTCTTTATTTTTGATCTTGTTGATTGTTATTGGTCACATGTAGTGCCTCTAGGTGACTTTTATGTAGCCTCCACTGAGGGCCTCAAACTGAGGCGTAACAATAGTTCCCCAAGTCTATGTATGATCAATACATTGACTTTTGTATTGTATTAGAACAAAACTTTTTGTGGGGGTGGTTATTTTTGACCTACAATAATAGTCCCCCAAATCCAATTGCAGATATTTATATAAAAATCAAAATTCTAAAATATAACTTATGATGAATCGTTCGAAGTACTTATCTTGGTTATTCGCTAAAGTTGTACTTGGTGTCTTTCTTTTGCTCTTAAGTTGAAGCAGAGCCTAGGTTCATTTGACCAAGGTTGCTTGCTATTACGACCTTGTTTCATGCCCATCTTTTTCAAAATACATTTTTCCTCTTTCCTTTTCGACTACACATTATTCAATAAAATAATATTATGCGTAAATCCAAAACTTATTGTTATTTTTAATAACACATTTCATCAATCTACTATTTCAAAATATATTTTTCCAATTTAATGGGGGCTCAAGCAAGGCCTACACAATTGAAGTCATGCCAAAGTTATATATGTTGAAGCTAAAGTGGTAAGCTTCGTTAATTTGAATGAAGTTGTAGCAATAATACTGAAGAGGTATGCCAGTTCTGCTTTTATGAGTGCGAGGTATCCTTAATTATCGTGCTGAAATGATTTGCTGTCCCCTATACTTTCCCAAAAAAGCAGGTTGCAGCGGTTCAACTTCTTTCTCACGCAATTGTCATTGTATTTAATGAGTAATGATGGTTGTTGTGGGCGTGTCTTTCGTTATTTAGACGCATTGGAGTGCATGGTGTAGATGCTCTAATCTGGGCCATAGAAGGCAAAACAGTAGACATACTGGATGGTTCAGATTAAATTTCAAACAAACGATTAAATGATTCAGATCAACATCCAATAGTTGGGATTAAGTGCTTCTGCCTATAGTTGGCAATAACCTAGGGCAAAAATCACTTTTGTCTTTGCAAATCACAGAATTCAGATTTTCTCCAGAGTTCCTCCCTATCCTTCCTGTTTTCCTCAATCTCTTTCAACTCTTCTTTTGCAATTTCTGATCATTCCCATTCGGTATCTTTTGTCTAAACTCATAAGTATTCGAGACTATTGCACTTATTGATATAATCGCAACTTCACTTCCTAGGAGGGATTATGACATAAGTCAGTTGGCCTCTGCGATAGGGGTTACCGTAAGAAATGCAATCGACGTTATCCAAAGCCATTAGGGCCACGCAAAGTATCTTACCTTAAAGGGGGTAGGGTAGGTGATTAGGTGGTTGGGAGTTGCCAAAATCCCATCCATTTTAATTTCGTTCAACATGGTCAACCTGAGAAAAAAATATTACATCCTTTACGATATCGAACTCCTAGTCCCCTCTCTTGATGAATGAGCTTGCTTTCCAGGCAAGATTGCATCATCATCAGCAAGATTTTCGTAAAGGTAGGGCTTCGTTCTGAGATTGTATGGACTGACCCTACCTAGTTCTCCCCAATGCTTGGACCGAGTTAGTGGGACCTACTTCTTGTGAAAAGAGACCTCCCTTGGTGACAACATACAACATTTTCCAAACGATCTTCCAACCCAGGTCTTTGGGAAAAGGAGATTCTTGGAAATGGTATTCCCTTTGTCCATGGGGATCATACTCCCATTTCATTGTAGGACTTCTGATATGATCTGGGTTGCACCGCTGATTATCAAGAACTTGGTGATTGATTGGAAGAATCCAAAGCTGCGTTCAAGATCTCGAATGGGCAATACAATTCACACATTGCATGGTTGAGCTATGGAGTTCACGAGGTTGAAGATGACATGCCAAGGAGCAAGATTGGTGTTGGAGATGAAGGCCGAAATGGAGGGGAGACACTTGATTCAAGAGGCCAACTATGCAATCGCATAGTGCTTCCATCCATGCAGTCGCATACAGGGCGGCAAGGAATTAAAGGGCAGCTACACTTTGATCTATGCGACTGCATAGTATACTTCGGGGACCAAAGTTGCAGTTTTCCAAAAGTCTCCTATTTTGGGTAGAATTCTAATCTTTTATTATTTTTAGGATTATTAGAACGTATTTTTACCTTTTAATTAGATCCTACGGTTTTCATATAAATAGGACTTTATTTTCATTGTATTGGAACTTTTGACATTTGAGGGATTAATACAAGGGATTGTTTTACTTCCAATTTTTGTTCTTTGAAGAACAAATCGAACTTATCAAGATTTGTTGATCTTTGTGGCATTAAAACAAATTTGGATGAAATTTATAAATTTTGTA